GTGATGTCCCTGACCCGAGCCCCAGGCATGACACAGACCAGTTAAAGCAGAGCTTTCCAAATGCAGCACAGCACTGGGGTCCACATTGCCTTCCACACTTGGTTTATGTCTGCTTATTTGCTCTCTCTCCCTTTGAATTCTCCTTGCCAATGGAAAATTCCATTTTGGGAGGTAGAGTCTTACCTATGGAAAATGTCACCTTGTGAAGTGGCTTTTTCTGGCTGCATTTTTTCATGCTTACTGCATGGATGACCCCTTTTGGTATATTCAGCTCTACTCCCCGACACTTCACAGTTTCTGCTGTCCTACACATTTGGATAGTCTTTCTGAAGGACAAAGTCGCTCACACAATAGCCTTCTGGTAATGCAGCATCTGCAGTTCTACAAATAAGCCTGTCTCTAATCTGTAAAGTTCCCAAGAACACAGTTCTTATGCAGTCACTTTAGTTCAGTAATATACTAATATATATTTTCTCCTGCTATTTGCCACCACACAAAAAGTCTTTGCCTTTCAAGGGTCTTATTCATTTTTCTGGCATGCAGTACTCCTCATATTTGGAAGGTATTACACTTAACCACATATTCTGGCCTTCTGCAAATGTAAAGAGATTTTAAACAGCTAGGGCTTCCTCCTTTACAATATACAAGATACATGATTTGACTTCGTCCTTTTCCTCATTTGCACCTATGGCTGCTAGGTACCACTAAAACCTTTGTCTGAACTCCCTCCATTTCCCTGATATATTGCCTGAAATCAGAAGGGCAGGTGGAGGCTGAACAATATCCATGGCTAACTGTCCATTTACTTAGATTAGAATTATTCCATAAGATCACTTACAGTGCCCTTGTCCTTCCACATGGCTGTGTGTATCCACTTGCTCTCAGTTTTCAACTTCTATTTCATATTAAAACTCAAATTCTTTCAATTTTTTTCTCATTCATCATTTCGGACACCACATAGTGATCATCAAAGTTGATAAATCTAGGTATGCAGTGAACGAGAAAAACTAAACAATTCACTTTATTATGAAGCAGTAAGCAACCTCTGCAGACCCTTGGTCTGGCTCTAAGTAACAGCAACTACCTGAGGGACCATCTCTCAATTCCCATTTCTTTTAAATTAGGGAGTATTTCTAAATTATAACTTCTGTCACTAGATTGCTGACCAAAGAAAAAAGATGAGCTGTTAGAGAAGAGGAACCCAAATTTCCCTGTATTGTGATATCTGCAGCTGTGGCACATCCCATCCATTGGTACCTGAGCTTTTATCTCCTTTCATGATGGCAGGAGAACTTATTGTTAAAGAACCTTCTGGTCTTGCTCAAAGACACCCATTGCCCTAATCTCTCCAAGATTGGTTGCGGGTGGGTCTTGTCTTGTCTTGTGGAGTAGGTATTGGCCATTAAAGTTACATCTGAAAGCCTTGGGAAACTCATCTGAATCAGGCTAAAACTATTTGATGGTATCATTGCTGAGACACTGCTAGATGTTTCATGATAGGGACAGAAGCAACTCTGTGAAACTCAGATCCCAGAACCTCTGCTTTAAAGCCTAGCCCAAAGCCTCTTGAGTCAACAGGAGTCTTTGCATTGATTTCTTAGGGCTGTGAGTACATCAGAGTATGGATTAAGCAAAGCACTCAGTATAGGTTTAATTTTAAGTAGCTACTTAAGTCCTATTAACAACAATGGCACTTGAGAACCTACTTAATGTTAAGCACATGCTTAAGTGCTTGGCTGAATAAAGGTCAATTTAAGCACATGCTCTCTGCTTTGCTGAATTGGGGCATAAGTAGTGATTGGTATTAATATAAGTTAGCTGCAGGTGTCAATGCCAAGCAGTGAGTGGGTTAAGGCAGAATGCATCAGTTGAATTACCGGTATTATGGACTCTTGAATCAATGATGTTATAAAACATAAAGTGTGCAATCTTGGCTCTGTTGAATTCAGTGGTGGTATTAACACTGATGTTAACATAGCCTGGATGTCATCTCAAATATCTACTTGTTACGGAAGTCAAAAAAAGGAGTAGCATAACCCTATCCCAGTGCTTCTCTTGCCTAAATCTGAAGCAGGGAAGGCAGGAAGGGAAGGTATTTCTGTATGGCTGACTAGAGTGTAGTTGCTGCCTTACCATGGCTATCAGAAAAAGTCCCAGGGGGTGCATGCATGGGAAGGATATTGAGTTTTGCTGCTTTCCCTTCAGGTTCTGGTGTTGCAGTGAGACTGGTTGGTTCACTGTGAAGAAAACAAATTGGTCATAAATGTGGAGTCCTTTCTTGTTTTCTTCTGCTTTCACTTTCCCCTCCCCTTTTGCCCCACAAAGACGAAAAGTAAATTTTATTTGCAGGCAGTTAATTAGCTCCCAGCTGATCCACTTGCACCTTGGGCCTGCAATAAGAGGCCTCTTGAGCCATGGACACTGGTTTCTCATAGAGCATGTCCCAACCTAAATCCCCTTGGGAAATTATGGCTACCATTATACTGAGTGGTTATTTCAGCTGTGATGTGCAAACCTGGAGGTGAATATCCCCAGAGATCAGGGTTGTTTAGTAATAGCTCCATGCATGTACGAGCAAATAAAGTTGCCCCTACCCTACCCCATGGTCCCCCCTGAGTGACGGTCCTAGCTCACCTCCTTCAATGACTTGTTTCTCTTTTTATAAGAGCAATAAGTGTAACATGCAACAAAAAGCGAAACCAGGTCTATCCTGATAACATCTGGTTTAGCCTGAGCTACTTCTTGAATGGGCTGTTCTTAACATCCCTTCTTGCAGGACATATTGGCTTCCTCAGTCAACCTCTCTTGCTCCAGATGCATAAGGCACATCTCTACTGTGGTGGAAACATGTTACAGCCATGCTATTTCTGCAGTCAGGCCACTTGGTAAACTCAAACACACCAGCTGACATGCTTCAAATGTAGACGTATGCTGATGAGGTAGCCTGGGGTCTCTGGATGTTGGGAACAGCTTCTGGGGACAACACAGGAGTAGCCTCACCAGCATACTTCCAGGGCACCTAAATGGGCCCATCCTGACCAGGGCCCACTGTCACTGTGATGTAGACATGCCATGGACTCTTGAGGCTTAATTCTAGTGCTATAGGTACATTGGTTTAACTCTTGACTTCCCACAGCAGATGCTTTCAAAATAACATAAAGTACCTCATAAAATGCACTGTCATTCTAGAATAAGAGCATCTGGATAGGGAGCTATATAGTTAAAACTT